ATTAATCCCCCATTCTTTTAACCCGCTGTTTTTTTGCAAAATGTACATATTCACGATCGAAATATTATGTATGCATACATATGGAGAATGAATATCCATCTACAAAATAATAAATTAAAATAATAATAATAAAAAGTTGAAGAGATAAATGAAATGGCATAATACAAATATCAAGATGTTTCGTCACTCGTGTAAAATGTGTCGCGTTTACCCTTTGACGAGAAGTAGTATACTAGGATTGGCTGAGATATATGTCGGGACGTAGTAGTATGCCAGCATACCATTGCAGCAGCTCCTTCTCTGCGCCACGCAATCGCTCTTCACCTGCGATACGCAAAGTCCCGCGGCAAATGGCAGCGGTGAAAATGCGGACGCGCAATCAACGGCCTCGACTTCTCACAGTCCTCCGCTCACGCAGGGCCACTCGACCTCCACTATCTTGGACTGCAAAACTAATCCCGCGCAGTATGTGCTTATCCAGGGATGGCAGCTCCTGGCGCTCGCCGTTTCCCTCTTCCTACCCAAAAATAATCGGCTACTATGGTACCTGAAACTGCACCTGCAGAGAAACGCCGACAGCAAGTGAGTCGATCGGAAAATGGATCGATCATTGCAGAGAGAAACGTGAAAAAAAGTTCTCAAATCATTTCATGAGGAAAGAGGAAGAAAAATCTTTTATAAGAAGGAGAACAGTTTCTAACATTTGCGCTCTGATTTATTCTAGAGGAAAAGATGGTAACATGGACTCTCATCTTTTTTGTAATTTTTTAATTTTTTAGTTATATTTAAGTCAATGATATTGCAAACAGTAATTTATTAATCTAAGTTTACTTTAAACACACTTGAAATAATTAAGACAGTTCACAAAATAAGAAAAATTATGTAAATGAAAAGGAACACTATGATGTGACTATCAAAGTGTGATGATAAAGTGAGCAATCTGTATTTTTATAGAGAGAAGAAGAGAATCTAGATTTTTCAGGTCTATTTAAACTTCCTATGAAGTCCAAATAGCTTGAATTTCTAAAAACTTTTGAATGTATTAAGATATTATATTCAGAAGTTTCTTTAATAATACTCTTGCGTTGATCCTGTCCTCTTGAATGTTTACCATGAGCACTTCTTTCTCGCAGATACTTTTAGGAAGATTTTTAATGAAAAATAACTATCTGCAACATTTTTTGTTAAAAATCCCAGGGTCTACTTGTTGGAAGTCTCAATATAAAAACATTGATAAAATTTACATTTAATTATGTCTCAGCGAAGATATAGTTTTTCAAATTTTATCTTTTCATAATAAAAGAACAGCATGTTAAGAATTAATTTAGGGTGTAAAACACACTTGTTACTTACCAATTTTATAATAAATCATTTTAAACTTAAGAGACATTGAAAATTATACGAAAAAACTTTGATGTATATAGTATGTACCTCGTAATAGATAAACAATTAATCAAAAAGGTCGCGCCAATCGTAGCGGCAATTGTTTCACAACTTTAAAAAATACCTATTTAAAAACAAGTTAAAAACTTGTAAGAAATAGTATTAATTATAACAGAATTTTAAGTAGGATCTTCATTAGCAGCAGAGCATTATTACCACCTTTTCTCCTATATAATGTAAATGTAAAAATAAATTTTAAAATCAATTCCGGAATTTTAACGAGAAATTTTAATGCAGTTCTTTCCAATAAAAACAAAAATATTAGATCTTTAAGAGATAAGGCTGAGTTTGCAAGACTCGTGAATTTTAACAATTATATTTCTTGCAGTTTATTTTTTGCAAATATAGGTTGGGTAATTTTTTATGAGTTATCCATTTCCGCAAATATAAAAGTCTTATTACGGGTCTTACTTAATCTAAAACTCAGAATTCAAAAAGTATTTTTCTATGCATTGCTAAAACTATTTTGATGGTATAATGTTTATCTTAGCGATAAATGAATCTATCTTAATTGGTTTAATCAGTTGAAGTCACAAAAAAACACGTCTTTTCTGCAATGACAGATCCAATTTTAATTTTTGTTACTATTGATTCATCTTGCATCACATTGCATTGTATTATACTAGAACGGAATGCGGCAAATATGCGGCTTACTGTGAGAGAGCCCTGGAGAGGACATTGCAGAACGGTAGTAGAGAAGTAAAACCGTCGAGGATGGAAGTACTTTCAATACTTATGAAAAATCCATACCATCATTCATTACCGCATGCCATACCAGTTCATTTTCTGAATGGCACCTATCAGGTTGTGAGTTTTGACGGCAGTACTACGATTGAGGAATTTCTGAATACTCTCAATCAAGAAATCGGCTGTAGGGACGTTCATCAATCCGGTTTCACGCTATTCAGCGATGATCCGATCGAAAAAGATCTGGAACATTTTATCGACCCAGAAGCGAAGGTTTGTAAAAATTGAAATCATCTTTTCACATCAAATTATTTATTATCATTCGAGACCATTCATGTAAAAAAGATACCAAATCTTTATCAAATATATAAAATATATATCAATGGGATTGGTAAAATTTATATTGCATTTCTAACGAAACCTATAAAATTGACAATTTTAAATAGAATAAAAACTTGTTATCTTACTTCAGCATTTAAAACTTAATACAAACTATGCTTCAGCTGTGTGACATTATCTCAAAGTGGGAGACAGCGTTACGAGAGAAAGGTTCGGGAAAGTTTGAGAATACTAGAGTGATACAATTGACATACAAATCTCGTTGCTACTGGCGGCAAGCTGCTAAAATGGAAACGGACAAAGAGAGGCTCTTATTGTGTTATCAAGTGAATCAACAAGTTGTGCAAGGAAAATTTCCGCTAAATCGTGAACTCGCTTTTGAACTAGCATCATTAATGGCACAGGTACAATTTATATTAGTTAGGTATTTCATGTTTTTTAAAATATATTTTAAATAATTTTGTAGACACATGTATTTTATTATTATAATAATTTATTATATTTATTATTGTAAATGTATTAGACTTGTAAAATTTATTATTGTAAATAATTAAAGTAAAGGATAATTGAATCGATTCATTACTCTATATGATAATTTAATCAATTTCACAGATTGATTTTGGAGAATACAACAATGATAAAGCACGTGGAAGCGGCCCTGGAAGCAATCCACATCATCTCGTACTCCAAACTCTGGATAAATTTTATCCATTACGCTATCGAGCCAACATTACCGCTGATCAATTAAGGTGAATGATCGCTAAACTCAATTAAAAAATATATATATCAAGAGAATATTTATTTTTACGTTAAATTATACATTTTTTGCTGTTTTATAACAAATTATTTTGATTCCATCAGGGAATTGCAGGAGAAGTTACAGGAAAAGTGGATCGCTTTAAAAGGACGTAGCGTATTGGATTGTGTTCGTATATATCTCACATGCACCAGAAAGTGGCCTTTTTTCGGAGCTACCCTGTATCAAGCAAAGGTATAATGATGCTATTGCAAATATTTTATGAGTAGGAACAAGATTAATAATAAATTAACTATATGATGATAGATTAAAATATATTTCATACATATATTATATATGGATGTGATTTAATTTTATTTAAATAATTTTCTTTATAGTTGAAGCAAGGCGATCCTGTGACGGTTTGGATAGCGGTTTCCGAGGACAGTGTAACGTTGCTTGAATTACAAACAATGGCTGTTATGTGCCGGTATAATTATGCGAACATAGTAACGTTCGGTGGTTGTTTAGATGATTTTATGCTCGTCGCTTGCCCAGACGAGGGTGCAGCTGAACAGAAATTGTTGTTCGCACTCTCTAAACCCAAAGTGTGTATAGTAGACTAACGTCTCGTGGAAAGTTAGTAATTTAGAAAAATATTTATTTTATCTATTCTTTATAGATTTTGGAAATAACATTATTGATCGCCGATTATATGAACGCGCTAGGCCACGCATTACCGGGCACTCCACAAATGAATACTCTAACACGCAATGGATCACATCGGTCCATCAAATCCACTCTGAGACCTGCGACTGGTCGGTAAAAAGAAAAGAGATTTCTAAACATGTTATATAAAATTATAATTGTATAAGATTGTTTCGAAGATTGATAAACAAAAGAACAAAATTACTGTAAGCATTGATTTAGAATAGTCACTTTTAATTAACTGTTTCTTGTATCATGAATGTTGATGATCGATCTTTTCTCAGAATTAATTGACATTGATAGACAAACAACAAATTAAAAGATTATTAAAATTAATAGATCTTTAACTAGTTTTTGTCTAATAAAGCAATGATTATATATATTATTAATCAACAATTAACTCTAATTAATATTTCACAAAAACAATGTTTAATGAATTTTATTTTTGCAGGTTCAAGCTGTCTTCCAACTCAACCTGATATATTGAAATCCACGCCAGATCACCAAAGACCTTAAAATGTCGCATCACGTTCATTTTTTCGAAAGACAATGAGATATATTTCTTGGATTCGCGCCAAGATCTGATTACGATGAATATTTTGTTTGTCGTTTGTATCATAAAAGCAGCGTAACAGTGCAGTATTAGTATCGTACACTGCGATGTGCGGTGCGGTTTTTTTTTTTTTTTTTTTTTGAAGTCTCAAACCTGTTCGAATCATGTTTATGTCGTATGTGCATGTAAATTATCGACGCTTATAAGAATGTATCTGTGTAAATATTTAATAATAAGCATAAGAGCTAACCACGAACGACCATGCTGGTGATTAAAGAGCGGCTGAAATCGAATCGAACACTGAAATCGATCTGTAACACTGCCTAATTTAATATGCGCGATTACACATCGAATAGTTTCATCCAGCGGCTACGTAATAAGCTGAGACTTTTGCTACGCATTTATATATCAAATTAAAAACAGAAACGAAAAAGAATGCGTAAAATATTGCGTAATAGTGATGTATTTACATCGTATCGTGTATATATTAATCAAAGTTATTAAATGTTTAGGAGTATATCTCTCGAATGACACAGCGATACGTTCCTTCCCAATTTTTGATGTTGAACGGAACACTTCCGAGCCTATATAAACGTTATTGCTGTCATAATCTGGAACATAATTTTTTAAAATTTTATTAAAAAGTTTTTCTACTTTTATCAGACAAAAAGTCAATTTTACATAAATTTATTTTATCAGAATAAATTTATATAGATTTAATTGAAATCAAAATTTTGAGGATTTAGATTTAAGAGATTAGAGATGTACGATTTATATTGAATATCGATCTTTGAATCGATCTCAGATCATAGTAACCTAGATCGGTTCATAGAGATCGTATTAAAAAGATTGATCTCTTGAAGATCGATCCAGAAAAATGTATGCAGTAAAATCAGAGTTGGCAAAAAATGTTTTATTTAGCAGGGACTTTATAATTACTGTTGTTATAAAAGTCATGGCACACAGAGAAACTTAAGTAATTTTAAAATCAACAGGTTGGATTTGCTTCTACTTAATTAAGATCTTAGGTTTCTACTATGATTGGCCAATTCGTATTACTGCTTACGTTTTATTGCGTAATTAGGCATATGGATAGTGTTTTCGAACGCACTCCTATCGAGAAAAATTGGAGATCGATTTACAACAAAATTGCAAAGGAGATCGATTAAAAAACTCGATTTTTTCAAAAGATTGATCTTCTCAAAGATCGAACATCCCTAATAGAGATTGGAGTCGTCTCATGTGAGAATTTAAATTTAATTGAAATTTTGTATATTTCATAATTTGAATTTATTCGAAATTAAATTCGATTTTGTGATATTTTAACAAAGAAGGAAAGCATAATTCAATATAGAAAGAGATTATTTTATTTTAACAATCGTGTGTATTGTAGGATAATAAATAGACCTGAAAATAAAACTGTCTCATTGAGAGAATGAAACTGTCAAAAAAGAGAGACTGCTTTTCTCTCTGCTCATTTTCGAACATCATTTGCTTCTTTTATGTGAGGCTACTCATGAAATCGATCAACAAATAAAGAAGAAATCCGCTATACTCGTATTAACTTTGATAACAACTAGTCTCATATCTGATATTTATTTAAGGTATTAGCGATTATATGATTTCTTTTTACAGGTACACGACCAAATAGATGTAATTGGGAACGTAATTTACTATTTAATATAACTAACGTTACGTTCCCGCGCGTAGTACGTGTGCAACATTATGTATTAAAACATACGTAACGATTATAATGTTGTCTATATATATATATATATATATATATATACACAGAAAGCGAGTGAGTGTGAGAGAGAGAGAGAGGTTTTGTATTCGCGTTTGACGTGTCCTACGTAACTAGTAAACGTCTTCCTTCTAGCGGTTACAAATTGAGCTGAAAGTAGGGCTTTCGTGCAATACGTGCAAAACTTCTACGGTTTTGTAATTTTCGAAATTACACCACTATGCGTCTGTCTCAAGTGGAATTAGCGGGTCTCGATTTTCGAAGGATCTCTGCAAGGTCTCTGGAAGACGTCTTGAAAATCCCTCAGATCTTCGCGATCTCCTTTAAATATCTAGATGGACTAAGGCGCGCGTATACTCAGCTTCATTTAGCATATTGTGAATGTTTGTATGAATAATTCGAACCTCAGACTATTGAGAGCAGTACAAAGATATGCAAGAATGACATTTTGTCCTTAATTTTTTATATAATATATCGAATGCTATTGTGCATGGGTGATTAGCACTTCTGTATCATGACATAGTTGAAGGAATCGTATGCGTATTACTCATTTATTCGTGTAAATATCACCATCAGAACAGACTTGCGTTTCTAAAAAATAGTAGAATCAAAATAGACAGAGAGAGAGAGAGAGAGAGAGAGAGAGAGAGAGAGAGAGAGAGAGAGAGAGCTAGCAATTTATACAATCGAGCTCTATGTGAATCGGATTCTACCGAGCCTATCTCACATCTTACATTTATATTTATTATTTATTCATATGGAAAAGGAGCGAGACAAGTGGAAAACATTGTGTACTATTGTACAGAAAAACAAATAAACTGCACATTAATACAATTTTACAGACGTCGATAGTGACTGTCAAACTATTCATTTAAAAGATAGGATAAAAAAGACATCCACAAGTTTTGACATAGAGCTATTATAAACAATAATAAATTTTTAACATCTCTCTTATATATTTGTTAATTTTATAATTTGTATATAATTTACTTTTCAGTTTTTGTGACAGTACAATAAGTTCAAACGCTTCAATCCACCTCTTCTGGTCTCACAGGATGTGTTAATGGAATCATAGATTTCTTTTTTACATCTTTTGACAAGGCTTTTCTCATATCTAAAAATAAGATGATATCTATTATATCTCACACATACATAGATTTATTTTAGATTTTCTTAAGAAACTCTGTACCATACGCATCTTCATCTGGATCTCCATTGTAATATTCTAATACTGTCCTATACACAATGTATCCTAATTGTTGATACATCGTAATAGCCACCTTGTTGCTTACTCTAACGAAGAGATCCACGAAATATGCCTGTTTCCTGATTTAAATAAAAATATATATAGTATGTAACAAAAGATATCGATAAGATCATTAATTAGGTATAATAAATTATGATTTACTTTTCTGATACATCCTCAAGATATTTCATCAACATTGCAGCAAGACCCAACCTTCTGTAATCAGGAGAAACTGTGAGGGCTGTTACATGACCATGCCAATTTTCTCCATGACCTTCAGCCTTCCCCATGACTTTGATGATTTCAAATAATAATGTTAACTTTAAATAATGAAAACTTGCTTTATTCACATGAATATATTGGAAACAAATGAACTTACTATAACCCATAATTTCACCACTTGGAGATTCTGCCACTTGAATGTATTCTGGCCAATGTGAAAGATAATGCATATAAAACGATAGTCCGTACTAAATAGAAATGCAAAAGATCAAGGAATATACATGGAAAAGTTTTAATATATCAATAAAATATAATTTGTAACATAAAAACTTTTTGGTTTCCCATTAGACAATGCTTTTTGGAAAACTTTATTATAAAATAATTTTAAGTAAAATTATTCATTATAAATGAAAAGATTTAAAAATAATTTTCCTCTGAGATTTATCATCTTTTAAAAATTTAAATGTTTATATTATGATTAGTATAACTTTACAGGTTCATGATAAAATACATGCTAATAATATGTTATTAATTTTCTGTCGAGTAAAATAAAGGATACTGTTTCTGTGAGGGGATCCAAATTCCTGAAAATGATATATATAATCATAACAATTGACAACAATGAAAAATTATCATTCAACTGAATATTAGGTTAGAAGAACTTGACAAAATTACTTACACGTTATTAAATTTGAACAAATCATTGCATGTGAAGGGTCTAAGTGTCGTCATTTTCAAAAGTTGTAAAAGAAATAATTTACTTTATTCACTTGTCGATAAAATTTAGTTCAAAACAAATCAGCACAAACATTTAGAACACTCTACTGTCCCATGTTAGGACCCGTACAGAAAAACATGATGTAGAAAGATGTAGAGTTCCCTAGGAAGAGTTAGGACACCTGTCTCGCGCGCGTGCGCGTCTGCCATTAATGGAGAACATGAGATAGAATGAGAAAATAACAAGCTATTTTACTCTGCCTTATAGCGTTTTCGGCCCGGTTTGCACCAACCTGCGTTGGATTAATGGCGTTTTGTGCTCTCCTATTGGTAGAGTGTGTAACGTCAACCAATAGGAAAGATTAATCCAATCCAGGTTGGTGTAAGGGCTGCGGCAGACAAAATTTCGGTAACAGTAACCTTAAGACGTGAACTTAAGCCGATGAGCCAATCAGGATATTGCTTTAAGCTACGTAATCTAACGGAAATGGAAATAGCAGTAAACTTATCCATAAGGCGAGTTTCAACCGGTTGAAATTCGCCTTATTGCGAGGTTATGGCTAAGTTTACTATTATTTCCATTTCCGTTAGATTACGTAGACTTAAAGCAATATCTTGATTGGCTCATCGGCTTAAGTTTACATCTTACGATCACTGTTATGGAATTTTGTGTGCGGTAGCCCTAAACCCTATAATCCGATCGGGCCGAAAACGCGCTTTCGTTCCCTGAATATGGTGGAACCAATAAAAAATCATCACTCGGTGTCTTAGCTCATTTTAACGATTTCAAAAACCATGGCACATAAAAAAACTTAAGCCAGTAAGGATATCAACATGTTGGATTCGCTACTGCTTACGTTATGGTCTTATGGTCTCTATTGTAATTGGTCGATTCGCTTACTGTTGAAGTCTTAAGTTTTTTTTATGTGCCATGGCCTTCACTCTTACCCCGGATCTACAATAGGGTTTTAAGCCTTAAGCCATAAGAAATGGGCGAATCACAGTCGATTATTCCCCTCGGATTCGACTGTAATTGGTCAATTTCTTACGGCTTACGTCTTAAAACACCTATTGTAGATCCGGACTTACTAGAGTAAACTCTAGACAGGAGTGATGGGCTTTCTACAATAAACCATTAATTATAAATCAGAAGTTAAAAGCTAAAAATTGACGACTGATCAATTTCCAGCTTCTAACTTCTGATTTATGACTAATGGCTTATTGTAGAATGCCTGTAACGGTCCTGATTATTTACACCTCAATACAACTTGATTGAACCGCAATAAAAAAAATGCAATTGATTTACAATTGCATGTATTTATACAATAGCTTTTTTTTTACAAATTATTAATTATCCCTTCACTATTAGTCCATCACTACTTAAGGGAGGAATCTCATTTATGGGTAAAAAAAATCGATTTTTCTAAAGTTATCTTAATCAATAGTAGCACTCCCCGAGAATGTTGTTTTAAAATATTAGACTGATATCCGAAATATTTTGCGAGTTAAGCCTCGAGAATGTCATGGGTCGTGCAGGTATTCGAGCGCGCAGCGAGAGCCAGCAGAGAGTTCCCTCTTCTTAGGTTGTGTTCCAAAATTGACTGTCAGTACTAAAAATCTATAGTGCACGTAACGTACACTGTAGCATTTTCAGTGCTTCAGGAAAATGTATTGTATATAGAAGATATAAAACAATATAGAACATGAATTTTGAAATCCATCTTTCAGGGAAGTTTCAAAATATCGAGCAAAAATTAAAATATATTGATCTGTACCTTACGAGTCTCAAAAATTTGTCAAAACTATTAGAATATATCTTGATAAGAAATTTTTTAAATAAAAATTCCATAAATTAAAATTCTAATTCATATATATGTAACCAGTTTTTTGATATCGAATATAAATATAATTTTATCAGACCTCTACATATATGAGATAAGGATAAGTAATAAATTATTTATCTAGCAAAAGATTTTTAATGTCCATTCTGATTTCAGATATTGAATATAATAATTACAATATATGAATGAAAGTGCTTAGCTTCTTATTTTTGTGTTATTTACATCGTTATATGAGGAACTGGATATGTGCACTACATATATTTCAAAACACGATCGAAAAACTGGACGCAACAAAATTTCATGGGAAAAAAACTTAATTACTTTAAAAAAGCTTACAATGATTTTAGTTTATCTCTGTTTTTTATCTCAGAACACTGCTACTTCTCCTTTCGTTGTGATGTCAGACTGTCATGCATGTTCGTCACTACAGCTTCTAGTAATCCCGGTATCACTGCGCCATTAACATCGATGAAATTTGCAACGGATTTTGTAACACTTGTCTCATTGAAGATTCCCATTGACGTGCTCTTAACTGACAATATCAGATTGTACTTGTCGTCGTATTTCTTTAAATAGGAACTTGCCTCCCAAATCATGTCGGGATTGAAACCTGCTGGATCTCTGAAAGTGGAAGAGATTATGACATCGTACATAATATTCTACAAATCTATATTTCTATTCAGTATTAAATATAATTTAATTTCTACTTTAATATTAAAAAATGAGTTTAAACGAGTGAAATATAAAATGCAAAGAGAAAACAAATGATTTAAATAAAAATATCATAGAAATAAAAATACAAAGAAGTTTCATAAATTATAGACTGCAAATATATATATAAATTCACCTTTGAATTGCAACTATAAATATGCCTTTCTCTTTGTATGTCGTATACAATGTCAAGAGTCCCATTAAAAGAAAATAGAAGGAGACACAGGCTATTAAAACAGGCTTGGAAGCAGGGAATGGATATAAGTAATCACATAACAGTGCTATGATAGCTATAGTAACAGTAATTCCGCAGAGGAACAGTCTTCCATCAAGAAGAGAAAAATTTTCTATGTAATTATATTTCTTGGTGAGTACTTCCTTGACTGTATCGTCCAAAGCATTTTTCACGGCTGAGCCATCCCACTTATTGATTTGTATAACCTGCAGAATAAATGCCTATTATTTTGTTTTAATAAGAGAAAACATATTTTATATAAACACAAATTACAAATTAAAGTTGTAAAAAAGTTAATTATATTGTAATAAAAATTATAGACAGAATTTTTAATTGGAATATACATCTTGCTCCAATTTAAAAAATTACAATTTCGTTTGAATTACAAAAATTTGCGAATTGTGAATGATGTATTTGAAATACATTAGAAACAATTGTACAGCTAAGGAGAGATCCGTTAAAATATAATCTCAATTATCCGGAGTACATTCAACCATACGTGACAAAAGAAACGACCTTATTGTCGGCGAAATGAATAATGGCGCGATTCGGCACAACAATTTATTTTCGTCGCAATACACGCATAATTTTACGTTCGTGAAATGACATTTCAGATGAGAATGATTTCAGTTATGAGTAAGAAACGTACGGAATTCTCCGCTGCACCCATCACGACTATAACCTCTTAACAAAATACACGTCGCGTCTTTAGTCTTCAGGATACACGTCACACGATGCACGAATAATCGAGCTTGACTTGATCGGCTTGATACGTCGATCGCTGTTAGCGATTGGTGTGAACTCATGCAGCGAGAAATCGCTGGCGACTTGAGAAAGGTGGGGGAAAAAATGACGCCAACAACAAATATCCGTCGCTTTTCTGTCGCTTCCTACTCCTCATGTGACACGACTGACGACAAATCGCTAGCGACTTTAAACTTTAAAAGTCTCAACGCTCGGACGAGGCGGACATGTTTTGTTTCGGCTTAGGTATTCTATCATCTCGGTTAATTTTTTTAAAGTGTTGCCGACTTTGACTGTGCACAGGTATGTACGACCAGGTACGACTGGTCAAATTTACCCCATCCACGGGAGATCACGAGAACGAGGGCCAATAAAATGAAGAAGAGAAAGACTTCAATGTCAGTATTCTGTTATTAGAGTTAAAAATTATAAAAGAATATTATTGTTTGTAGTAGAAAGAGCAATGAAAATGAAGATGACAATACATTCGAACAGGGTGTATTTCGCTAAGTGTGCAAATACTAATTTATTAATATTTTTCGTGTCTATTTTTTATTAATATTTTTTTTTATTGATTTATTAATATTTTTCATGCTATACTAACCCCATTTTCCTCGAGATTGGCGAAACTCATATTGCTCCTTGAAATCAGTTATCAAATTTCGCTTAAAAATCAGATTGACTTGTCGATGCAGTTTATACAGAACGAACTTCTTGGGGTGCGTTCCGTTTTGTTCCGTTTCACAAATGGACTATATAGAACGCAGCGCATCAACTCGGTTCCTTTTCCCCATGCGCGTAGAGAAATAGAACGGATCCCATGCGGCTCATGCGATTGTAAACAGACTAGATAAAAACAATTCTAAGGGCCCTGGCACACAAAAAACTTAAGGCAGTAAGACGTAAGCAATAAGGAAATCAACATGTTGGATTCGCTACTGCATATATTACGGCCTTATGGACTCTACTGTGATTGGTCAATTCGCTTACTGCTTACATTTTACTGCTTAAGTTTTTTTGTGTGCCATGACCCTAAAGCCCAATTGGTGCATTTAGTACTACAATCGCTCAATAAGCGCTCAGTGAGCGCTTGCATTTTACTCCGGATCTACAATAGGTGTTTTAAGCCTTAAGTCGTAAGAAATTGACCAATCACAGTCGAATATGAGAAGAATAATCGATTCTGATTGATCAATTTTCTACGACTTAAGACCCTACGACTACTACGACTTCTATTGTAGACTTTAAGCTGGTTCTACATTACGTTGCGGTCCAATCAGAGTCGAGCTAGCTTGTCGTTGATTGGACCGCAACGTAATGTAGAACCAGCTTAAAGTCTACAATAGAAGTCGTAGTAGTCGTAGGGTCTTAAGTCGTAGAAAATTGATCAATCAGAATCGATTATTCTTCTCATATTTAATTGTGATTGGTTAATTTTCTACGACTTAAGACTACGACCGCTATGACTTCTCTATTGTAGACCCCACATAATACGGGATCTACAATAATCTGTTTGGTCTATATTTTTAGTTCTAACAGAATATGCCAATAAGATGCAAGCGCTCACTGAACGCTCAGTGAGCGGTTGTAGTACTGAATGCATCCATTAATTTAACCCAGGTTGGTGCAAACCCGGTTGGACCGAAAACACCAATAATATGGATATTTATAAATATTTATAAATTATAATTATAATATTTATAAACTTATTAATTAAAAAATTGTGTTAACATCGCAAAAACTGATTTTAAATGTCTAACAATCTAGATCTAACAAACTAGATAATGTATCAGTCTAACATACAATATTTATTTTACATAGCAAATATTCGGGCGTTATTATACTTATTATTTATATTTATTGTATACATCGTTTTTTATAATACAGCAAACACTTACATGTAAAAAATATACAATGCATATGGATGTACATACGTATTGCAGTATATTATCCAGTATGTATAAATGTAAATTCTTAAAAAAATCTCGAATAATCCTTTTAATAAACATATTGTTTCGCCAGCGCTCTCAAAAATTTAGCTTTACGAATATTAGCTGCTTCTCTTTGGATCTCTTCGTTGTTGTTGGAATTTAATTCTAACAAACCGATGACTTTGATCTGCAAAATAAAATTTTTATAGAGAACAATAATTGTAAAGGGATATATTGATCTACTGATCGTGATATCCAATTATTTAAAGCGATTATTTATTATTTATAATTATGTCACTATTATAAATTTATATGTAACACTTAATATTGATTTGATTCAGTTATTTACCGCGAGTTGCTTTCTGTGATGCTCTCCACGCTTCGTGTGCAACTGTATAAGATACTCGAGTATCGTTGTATCCCAAATACAATGATAATATGCATCCATAGCATCAGCTGCGGCACAGCTCTTTTGATCGCTGGCTGCCATTTTGAATGCTAAAGAATAATCTACTTCCTCTAAAAATTGGCACAATACAGCCGCCTGAGTGTAACATTGTAAATGAGCGCAACATTTGATCATCCTTCTATAAACAAGATCATCTATCTGCGTGCGTGGGATGGGTTGACTAAATAAATCGCTGGCTATCATGATTGCCTCCAAATAATATCTCATTGCACTTTCGTAATAGTTTAAAACTAAAAAAAAGAGTACATACAGTATATTAATACATATAATTTCTTATGAAACAAATTTGTATTTAGTTTATTTCTTTATTAGTGAAATAAAAATAAATGCCTTATACATATTTTGGTTGCCCTAATTATGAATAATATTTATATTATTGTATTTATTTGTATTTGATGAAGTAAAACATACCAAAATTAAGATCACCCATCAGCCTCAACCAAGGTACATTACAAGGATAATACTTTAGAGCTTGCGTCAACAATTGGAATAATAATTCTCCAATATGTCTGATGTTATACGAATTTGCACTGTAAATATTAATTTCTGTATAGGTATCATTTAAGATATTGAATATACTATTAATATTCAAAATACATTAGTAATATTAAACATTAATATTTTTAATTGTTACTATAAAAATATGTAATATGTATTATACAAGTTTTCTAAAAACTACTACTATAAATATGTAATATATTGTAATAAACGCACTTTGGTACTCCGGCAGGCCAAAGAGATAAATACTGCGTGTGTAATTCCAGACTCGACTCATCACGCAAAATGTTGCGCAAACGAGCTAATAATGATATTACTACAGTGAGAACCATAGGTTCTCGTAATCGAGTAAGTGTAAGGGTAATACTAGCAGCAACATCTCTTGAACTAGAACTTCCACTGTTACTGCCACTACTGCTGCGTTTCTGTGACTGATCTCTAGTAGGACCAAATGCTGCTAAGACTAAAAGAACATATGATTTTATTTGATAGAATTTATTTTATCATGTATTTTCTTATTTTTGAGCATAAAACAATTGGATTATTTACTGCATACGAAGGAAAATTATTTCCTTTATCTAACATTATCAATTTAATACATAAATAATAAAAATTTCAAAATATATAAAAAGATTTATAAAAAAAGATTCTGTGTTTGTGTGTGTGTGTCTTTAACAAAAATACTCACTCATATCCCATGCGTCTCGCGGAAATTTGCGGTTTCCTTTGTATTTAACAATATCTTGGCAAACGCTACTAATAGCAGCTGCAAATTCAGTGTAATTCCAGCGCTTCTCTAAACTAGTAAGATACTCCCACTCAGCTATATTTAGGAGGAAAACCGTACAGTATTCTATTACTTCTTGTCGCGGAATTAGTTGATCGGACGCTTGTAATGCACCAAGACATTGTTTACTCCGTACAATCATACTTTGCACATCACCTAAAAAATATTAAATTGTTACAAATTCGCCGTTTTTTTCATATTTCTTAATTCTCCATGTACGTACAGATACTTGTCGTCGGCCAAGCTTGGAAACACTTCCATATCTCAACAAGCAGGCATTCCCAATTCACTAATTTGCACAGCTTAAAGATCAACGAGCCTCCGCTTTTTACGTGTTCCTGCAGTTCTTTATCCAAAACCTTGAGAAGCTCTATAGCGCCATCAAAGTTTTTGGAAGTTACCAATTCTCGACTCTTCGCGAGTAAAACATATGAATAATCCTGGAGAAATCCTCTAGAAAACGTCATTACCACACTCTGCAATGGAATGGGTAACTCCCAACATAACGGTTTTATTCGATGTTTTCCATCAAGCTGGATCAACGTTTCACGAATTACATGAGAATCATATGACTCTATCAACTTTTGTTCCAATTCAAATACTTCGATTCTTGCTTTTTCTATAAATTTTAACAAAAAGAAAATTGTAGTCCATATACACTAAGATTTTAATATCTTTAATGATATTTTCTTTTATTTTTCTCGTAATAGTTTATGCTTACGTATAAATGATATCGATGGAATCCCCCAGTCGTTATGTAGTAACAAGTCTGGTATTTCTACCTCGTCAGAAATAGTTGCTTGCTGAAGGACTGCGAGTTCTTCTTCATCGAATAATGATGCATAGGAAGGATTGTTGAATAGCTTTAGAGCAAGTCCTTCTATATTAGCAGTGTTTATTAGATAAAGAAGGTAACATGAAATTCGTTTTTTATCCATAATTGTTGCTTTTTCCAGGACATTATCTAAAGCCTAGTATATAACAAAATATGATTAATAATTCATTTTTGTTATTTAATAATTTAGAAAAAATTTTATTAAATTGTATGAATAATTAGTATTAACGTATATTAAAAAAAGTTAAGAAAAATTATTTTACGGAATAATAAAAAGAAAATCCAGACACTTTTATTTTCAACTATTTAAAAGAAATAAAATTATTTTGGCAGTAATCAGAGAATCTAATTGAGAAGCTTTCAAAAGTGTAAATAAAAGCTATTTTACCCAGAATAAAACATCTAGACCCTTCGTACCAGCTGCTTTAATTTCAGTTACATAGTCACCCAAGATTATATTGTCGTCAAGAATTTTTCTAACCAGATTCAAGCACTCTATTTGCAACAAAAGATCGCGGGCGACTACAAATTTTCTATTAACTAATCCGCCTTGCACATCCAGCTCCAAATTATCTCTATAAACCTGGGGTATCTCTCTGAAAACATTATCTGCTTGCAAAATCTGCAATATATTCTGCAGATTTTGCATGTATTATGAATATACATTCAAAAATATAATAAATGCATAAAAATATGATAAATGCATAAAAATATACCTACAGTGTATTGATCTTTGATAGAGGCGTG